CTTAGACTCGAATGTGATGACTGTGGTGGCAGCTGACGAAAGAATAGGTATACGATTAATCACCAGGTCACCATCCCGTGCTGTACTTAGAAAAAGGAATGAAGAACGAACATCTTTTAGTTTATTCCACTTCAAAAGCAACGAGGCCAAATATCGTGAGCCAGCGAGGACTGCCAAAGTGCATCTACCACAGGTGGAAACAGCAGATAAGAATATGATCGGTAAACGGAACTGCAAAAGTGCCCTCAAGCACGCTTGAGAGTGCCAATTGTAAAAAAATTTGAGAAGCAAGCTGAAAGGCAGAACAAATGAACCCCTCGAAATTGAGATCATTAGAGAAAAGGATAGAAACTTATGGCTAGAGAAGATTAAACCTCTTATTGATTAGTTTGCCGGACAGAAACAAGATTTGGTCTTCCCCAACGTCTTAGTGCATGTTTTCTGCCACTACCGAGTGTCTTTTAAAAGACTCACACAACTTGCCGAAGAGAAAATTATGGCTTAAAAATGTGGGTGATTTCGAGTCCTACTTGTAACCAGACTCGATAATGTGAAATAACCACAAACCAAAAGGAGACAATTTTATAAACAAGACTTTTCAAGGACAGCGTACCGATTTCTTCAAACGATGGTGCAGGATCGGCCCTCTCCAAGCAGCTCCAACTTGAGCTCATGGTCTTCGCCAGTTTAAGCTCAATCTTCATAGGTGTACATTTGTATGTGGATTTATTGGGATCAATTTTGTAAGCAAGGTTAAGCTGTGTGATGAGTTCACCATTTATGCGAATCGTGACCTAAGAAAATACCAAACAATGACTCAGTAAAGAACTGTTTACTGCATCCTCGACGAAAGTGACGCAAAGAGTGGCAGGGTCAATTCCCTTGCGCATGACCGAGACGAAAACGGTAGAATCAGATTGATACCACTGATATCTAAACTATTAAAGCAAAGCAGTCAACTTACTCGGAATCAATTGGCGCCATTTAGTCCTAAAATATGAAGACAGTAATGATCACTAGAAATACAATCAACGATAAAATATGAATCAAATCTATAAAAAGTAGGGGCAACATGTGACACTACAAAATAAATTGGTGACATAAGTGATGATAAATCCAGGACTATATGACACTTGCGAACGGCTAAACCCTCACGCCCGATTACGTAATTAGCCTGGTACACACATGCTCATTTGCAGGAACGTTGGTTGGCATGAAGAATAACAACTTGATTGAAGCAAATTGCTTAAATATATAAACGAGCTCCATCAATGCTCTTCGAAAGCAGAATCCCCACAACGAGATCAGACCAAACTTTAAAAAATATTTAGTCCAAATCAACCGTATTATGGGAGGGAAGCTGATAACAATTATGCACAAGCTAAACGATGGAATAATGTAATTCAGTGAGGAAAATGCAAATGACGGTGCCGTGGGGTGGAAAAGGACGTGATATTCCCACACGGAGTGGATCGCCGAGATGAAGGAAGCTAAATAAAGCAGAGATAGCCTATCAGAAGAGCAATTTCGCGTGCTAGAGACCCGTAGTCCTCCACACTGTTAAGTGAGCATTAACAGTTAACGGCAGCAGAAATTTATATAAAAATACATTAAACTTATTTAAAGGTGAGCATGTATAAACTACGCATAGTTTTTTTAGTTTTGCTTAAAGATGCCACATACTTTCAAGACGGTAACCCATTGTGAACAAATATAAATGAGGAAGTGCGCCATATCAACCAGATTCCTTGAGAGAAATGACAGAACAAGTAACCAATAAACTTAGAAGAGTCCCATAATCACCTACCAATACCTAGGAGAACACTTTCATGCTCATTAAATCAGATTTGACTCAATAAAATAAAGATCAACAGATAATCGGATGAGCAGAGCCCCAAAAACCTATCCACTAACGCAAATAAAGCAGACCACAAAACAATTATGAAAATACCGCTTCTCCAGTAACCAGTAAAAACCACGTTGAAGGTACAAACAACGGAAAGTGGTAGGGTTGGTCGGATTTACGGTGCGCATGTGCGAATTCGCTAACTTTGTACTATTTTTGTATACTTTTGGAAAACTAGGGTCTTTGCGGAACGGTCAGATAATAGTAAGTTTTGAGTATAATCTAAAAACTGTTTTTTTTTAAGTGACAGTGTCTTGCGGAATTTCATTAGGCACCTGATGTGACCATCTAACGCCTAAATGTCGATTTGGCATTCTTCTCGCTTTTTTACGCATTAGCTGGCCTTTAGGACCAATACAAGGTCCATTTCCTACTTCGCTTCTTAGAATCTACGTATTCAACCGCGCTTAAAAATCCCTTTACCTGGAGCAAAGTCTCGAGGTGCTACAATGCAGTTTACGTACAGGACTAATTGCATGTACTCAAGGCTAAGAAAAGAGGTTGTGCTTCGGCTTGGTCCGAAGGCCAGCCCACGCGCACTAAAGCAAGATAAATGTAGGTGTTTTTCGTTCATATAAGTGATTATGTAGACATTACAGTTTCACCCTTAATAATAGCTGTAATACTTTGGTAACGTGATCATCTGAGGTCTGGTCTATCTAGCACTCGTACAGATCGTGTGAACTTCGGGCCAATCTGAGGCATATGCCCTTTGTTCTCCCTGGACTACATGGACCCAACTCTACTTAATGCCCTTTCCCACCCAGTGGAAATTCTCCAAAGCCACACGGTTAGCACTGGCTAGCAAACTTGACATTTTCGATGATTATATCCTAGTATATACCGTTTGTTGTATGTACCTACGGAGTGCATACGACACAAGTGTGGGGATGATTGTCCCCATGTACCACAAACAAGCTATAAACACCTAAAGCGACACCACCATAGAGCAACTGGAAAAGCTTTCTATTGGAATTTCCCCCACTATATCCATCAATAGATGTCGAGAATTAAACTACGGTTTTCCCTATATACATGACTTTGTCTGATCCCATTTTCCCTGTAACACATGTTTTGGGTCGGAAGTCCAAAGTTTAGGCTTGGAAGCAACTAATGGCCAACAGATGTATGCGGCTCTGAATCCAGCCGTCATTCAGGACT